AAAAAAAGACGTGTCGTATTTACTTCCATGGTTGCAAGATTCTCTCATTTTCGATATGGATTTGAGTCTCTTGATGATATGAAAATATTAAAATTTACTAATATTTCACTTGATGAGCCTGAATTAGAAGCTATGATATTTATTGAAGATGATATAGAAGTTCAAATACAAACCAATGAAGAAGATAATTATATAATTTCCTCTATTGAATAGTTGAAACTTCAAGTGCTAGATAATTTATGTTTATGCTTTTGTTGTTGTACTAGACATTTAATGCTTGCTTATATTTTGATATTATAAGCTACAAGGCTACAAATGATGTTGTTGTCATTTTTTTTTTGTAATTTTAAATATTATGCTTTGTTTGCTTTCTTAATTTTTATATATGATTTATAAATTATAATGCCGTATCCGCGACGTACCCGTATCCTGTATTTTTAAGAATTGACGTGTCCTGTATCCGTATCGTGTCGTATCCGTGTCACCGTATCCGTATCAGTGCAACATAGGCATATGCTAATTGATTCCTAACACAATTGATATAATTTTATTTAGAAGCTTTCACTAATTTTAGGAAATCTAAAAGACAACTATACATTGTAATATAACCAAGTTACTTACCTTAAATTCTTCTTTCCTCAATTTCTCTTTTTCCTCTTCTTCTTCCTTTACATAGATCACTCTTCACTCACAGCAATACTTGCTTCCACCACTCACAAGCCCCCATCGAATTCTTCTTCCACTCAGCTTCTAATTCCTCCGAGAACCAATTCTCCTCAATGCCACTGAACTCTCACAGCCGCAGGTTATCACAGAAATTCCACTCGGCCTCTTGCACTCCTCCGCTAATTGCTCCTCTACCGCCTTCTGTTGCTCACGTTTAAGCAACCCTGATTCACAAACTAACCTGCAACACTGCTCACCTTTCTCCTATTCGTCTCCTTGATTGAAATATATTGAAAAAAGGGGCCCACTTAATAACTTCCACGCTAAAAACTTTCAGAGCCATTGAATGCACCTTTTGGAAGAATAGAGTACTACTCAATTTAATCTAATATATTAATTAATATCAGTTAGTGTATATTAGTACTAATACTGAAATTAATTAAAGAATTAACCGTAGTTAAATAACTGTTAATAGAAATTTAAAAGTAACTATAATTTAAACTTTTTTAGAAAAATACACTTAAAATTTTCATAGAAGTTAATATTTCCACTATTGAGGAAAATTTTATATTATTACCTGAAAATTTTGAGGTATTAGACTAGCGTTCTTCTTCTCCTCAATCAAGCATATTAAAGCCACTGCCAGATGAACTAATTTAAGATTGATGGAAAAGAGCATCTTGTTCATGCATGCTACATATTGAGCTTACTAGGTTTGGCGACTCTGCAGCACATATGTCAGTGTCTTTTGTTACAAGATGTCACCTGTTATGTTTTCTTTTTGTTCTGCTGATAATTCATTTTTGAATACTTGCTTGACCTAAGAAATCTGAATATGGAATGCTCTAAGTAGCTTTTTTTCACGGGTACTCCACTGTATATATTTATAGTCAATATCTATCTCTATAATATTGTTTATGTGGGTAGAGTTTGAATTTTATTTGCAGGGTGCATGCTCGCATTGCTCAACAAATAAGGACCAGTGCGGATAGACCAGAGTATCATCGCGCCATTTTAAGATGGGACTTTGATGATGGATCTGGCTTACCAGGGTAAAATTCAGAGATTGCTATGACATTGGCACAAACTCAAGCTTGATTATGTTTTAAATATGCTATATTACTGTTTTTCTTGTAGTTTTGTTGCTGTGAGCACAGGAGGACAATTGAGCAGCCGTCTTATGAGCATGAAGTCTGCAAATGCTTTACTGGAGTTACCTGCAACAGGGCAGATGCTTGGTGCTGGAACTTCTGTTCAAGCAATACTGCTTTCTGACATAGGCAGCTTTCCTTTGAACCATTCAGACAAAGTGACACCAAGCGCATCTTCCCATACTGATGGTACTGCCAATTGCTTGCAAACTGGTATTGTGCTCAAAGAGAGGAATGTTAAGGTTGCTATTCTTACTGTGAGTGACACCGTTGCAAATGGGGTTGGCCCTGATAGGAGGTACTTCATTTTTTTTCTGGATAAATATTTTATTTCTTATTATCCATTTTTGGCTAGCATCAGTCGAAAGCTTGATCCATATTAGTTATTTCATTTATATAGACAAGCAACAACAACAAGATCAAGCTTTTGTCCCACTATGTGGGGTCGGCTACATGAATCCTTTTTTTCCATTGTGTTATGTTAAAAATCAAATTCTTGTTTAAATCTAAAAAAATATCATTTCTAATATTTTCTAACCAAGTCTTTTTAGGTCTACCTCTACATTTTTTAACATAAGTCAAATCTAATACCTCTATTTTTCTAACCGGGTCATCGGGAGGCTGCCGTTTTATGTGACCAAACCAATAGAGATAGTTTGTATTATGGCAAATAGAGGTTTCGGTTAAGTTGAATTTTATTTTCTACTGTACATAACTTTCTAAGTTGTACGTGGTACCTCGTATTAGTTAGAATCTATTATCAATTGCATGATTTTCCTACCTGCTCTCATGAACCTTTTGTCATCTAACAAACTCCAAAACTAGAACATGTTGGAGTAATGCATCCATTTGTAATCTTGTATCTAATCAATTCAATCATCTAAGACTTATTGTTATTGTTTTTCTTTGTTTTTGGAATGAGTGATTTTATCTCTTGAAAGTAATAAGCATGTTTGCTAGTATTTTATACTCTTGATATTGTGATAGATGATAAAACATTCAGGTTTGATTTGATTTTGCTATCTTTTATTGAGTCTGATGTGATTTTGAATATGAATTGACTGGTTAAATATTTTACTACCATGAGTGGTAGAAAGAAGAGAGCCAGATTTAACTTTCCCAAGATAAGATCTTGTGTTTTTCGGCGTGAGAAAGAGATCATTTCATCTCTCAGTACCTATATTAAGATGAACAATTGGAGGAGAGCTAGTGAATTAATATTCTTGGCTAAATTACAAGTTATCAAAGCTATAGTTGGTGATATAAGTGCAATCCCTGTAGCGACAGAGTATATTGATGTCTTTTCTAAAAAGCTTTCTATTTTGCTACTATGGAGGAAAATTGAGTTTGTAGTAGAAATTCAGCTTGAAATTGCATCGATTGTTAAAATAACTTATAAAATGACTACTAAGGAGCTGTATGAGTTAAAGAGTTAGCTTTAAGAAATGATTGAGAAGGGTTTCATTAAATCAAGTACATCTTTTGAAGTGCCCCTGTTTTATTTGGCAAGAAGAAAGATGCTACAATGAGATTATGTATAGACTTTGGAAAAGTAAGGGTGAAGGACAATGTATTAAAAAAACAGCATTTAGAATAATGTATGTGCACTATGAATTTTTTAATATACCTTTTGGATTGATGAATGTTATAATAGTATTTATGGATGTGATAAATAGGTTTTTTAAGCCTTGTCTTGATTAGTTTGCAATAGTGTTTATTGATGATATATTGGTCTATTCAAAAAATAATGAGGATCATGCCAGTCATTTGGATATTATTTTTGATTTACTGAGAGAGCATGCTAAATTTTCTAAATGTGAGTTTTGATAGTGTTATTTTTTGGGGCATCTCACCAGTGATGAAATTATATCAATTATAATCTTAAAAAGTGAGAATAGTGATGGAACGGGCAAAGCTGACTAGTGTGATTGAGTTTCAAAATTTTTGGGGATTGGTTGGCTACTATAGAAGATTTGTGAACGGATTTTTACAAATTACAATGCCTTTATTTAAACTGATAAAAAAAGAAGTTCATGTTGATTGGACTTAGAGCAGTTTTTCAAGAGCTTAAGATAAACAAAAGCGTGCATCTTGATACACCTCTTTAAATCATCATTTCTGAGAGGTCACAGTTTGATGCTATATTGCCTGGTGGAGTCAATACAGCTATCTGCATAGGATTTGCAGTTAAGCAATTATATTGCTCCCTACATCTAATGCTTGCAATTACATATAGCTTTGTATGCATTATTGAGAAAGTTAGGTTCTGGATTTTTTTATTTTTTGTAGAATAATGCTGATTGTTCTGCCTGTACATTTACTACTGTGGAAGCTAAGCATGCTTGCTTACTTCAAGTGCAAATCTCATTGATGTCTACCCATCTGATGCTATTGTTGTAAACTTATCTGCAGCGGTCCCAGAGCTGTTTCTGTTGTGAATACTTCATCAGAAGCACTGGGGGGTGCATCTGTTGTTGCAACAGCTGTAGTTCCGGATGAGGTGGATAAAATAAAAGAAGTTCTGAAAAAATGGAGTGATATTGATAGGGTTGACCTTATTCTAACTTTAGGTTAGAAACTTCTTCTGCATGTATTCTGAAGTTCTACTGTATTCACTTGCATTTATCTTGTGATATATATTTTTCCCTTCTAAAGGTGGCACGGGCTTTACTCCAAGAGATGTTACACCTGAAGCCACAAAGGCATTACTGGAGAAAGATGCTCCTGGTCTGTCCTTTGTAATGCTTCAAGAGAGTCTAAAGGTAATTCATCTCTAATTCAATCCTCTTTGTTGTCCGACTAATAACATTCTACAACATTTCTCTTCTCAATTTTTCTTTATTGTAAATGCGCTTGCACATTCTATACTTTTGATCTTTTATTTGTAAAAAGTTACAATATCTGCAGAATTCTAGTAACTTGATTATTAGATAAATACATGGATGACAATTTGTCCAATTCAGATTAGGGTTTGTTATGTTTGGAACTCAAAACGAAAAATTTATTAATTGAAACTGAATTGCTTCACAAGGTTGCGTGTTCTTTTGAACTTGAAATTAACTGGATATTTGTATGACAGCGAATATGTGTGCCTTCACACATGTTTTTAAACATATTCATGTAATCATATATATAAGTTGTATTTAGAAAAATTATTATGCGTTTCACTCTTTCTTAATCATACATATACACACACACACTCAATTAATAATTTGAAAAATACCCTTTAAAATTAAGTAGTCCAACACTAATCAGCTCGAAACGACTCAAATTTTATCACTTTGTTAAAAAAAAAAATTAAGGTTCTCTAAAAGTAATATGAAGAACCAGAAGGGTAAATTTGACTTTTGACTAGCATTTGATGGCATTGTATTTGATGCAGATTGTCTTTATGAAATTTTGTTAGAATTTTTATTTCAAGGATGGGTGCCTCCCACATTGCCTCACACAATTGAATGAGCTCAACGCTCATGTACATGACATGATAATATTCAATTTAATGGTACTGATGATGAATACGAATGAGATTTATACAATAGAGGGTAATGTATGGAATGCACCCTATTGGACTAAATAGTTTCATAAAGGAAGTGAAATAAGAAGTGGGTTTTCATATAAGTTTTGGTAACTTGATCATTTGTTTGAGTTTTTAATAGGCAGGAGTCCGACTCTAGATTTGAGCCCAACTTTGGGTTGTAGTGTTTTACCCTCTTAACATCACCAACTACAAGGGGGAATCACTACTTGATGAAGGCAATTCCTAAAAAAGCTAAGTGATGTATTTTTTTTCCTCACAATCATTCTTATTTTGATAAACTAAAAACAAGATAATTGTCTCATTCATTCAATCAAAAGTTTTTATTTATTTATTTATTTTATGAGTAAATTATACGACAAGTCCTTGAGGTGTGGAAAATTTTTACATTGTTCCATGTTCATAATTCTTTCACTTTGCCCTCCCACATATAAAAAATCATCTTAAGATAGTCCTTCATTTATAGAATCGTTAGATGAAAATATAATGCCATAAATATCCTTTTTTCATCTCTCTCGTTTCTCATACCTCTACTCTCTCAAGCTATTCTTGGGAATTCATGAAAGACTCAGCGTAGTCATCAGCCAAGTGCACTAGAGGGCAAGCTAGTTTTTGCGAGCTAGCTAAAAAAATAAGGGGAGCACTAGTTGTGCAATTACTGACGTGCACCTCAATATTGCTGCACTCGTAGCCATGTGTTTCCATTAAAACTACTACACTTGGAGGACCTTGTCTCGTTGATGGAAACATTCAATTTTGAAGACCTCTTCCTACTCTAATTTCAATCTCCTGCAACCCTTATCATCATCAATAAAATCTCAGCCCTTTTCATTATTTTTGTGGTTGGCTCCTCATTTATGTTGTTGGTGACAAGGATTGCCTCTTCTTGATGGTGACAACGAGCAAGAAGTTAGAGAAGAGGTACTACCCAAAACACAGACTTATACCCTGATGGAAAAAAAGCCTTCTTTCCCAAGAAATTAAGGAGGCTACATTAGCTAAATTAACTAAAGGAATAGCTATTTTTCGAAAGACCTACATTCATTTAGCGATCTATTTAAAATATTAAAAAGTGCTAGGAATCAAGTGGAGGGATCTTCAAAACGTGGACTAATATGAAGCACATCCTCTCTATTAGCCGTCTATAGTTGATTCACCCATTCTCAAATCATATCATTTTGCATGATTTATAATTATTTTTGGTTACTCCAGCCCTTCTTGTTGTTTGTACACTGAGTCTACCTACCTTGCGGATGCTCCTTTGTTTCCACAGACACGCCAAACTTCCTAAATCTGTGTGCTACCACTCAACTTTTTTCCCCCGCTTTATTGTGCATAATTTTTGTTGTCCAATACTTTCAGAATATAGCTTCGTTTGGGGCAGCTTTTTTAATGTTTTCTAAAATAACTTTTTAGGACAAAAATTTCTTATTCAAAAAATTTTGATACTAAAAAATCGTTTTACCCCCTTTTTTCCCTTGACTCTAATTCGTCTTGCATTCAAACCTTCCTATTTTAGCACTCTTAATTTGGGTAACAAATTTGAATTTAAACTTCAAATTAATTTGAGTTTGAATTTGTTTTCTAAACGAGGATTCCTATTTTAGGAAAGTTTCCAAATAAGCCCTATTTGAATTTTAAATTAGATTGGATTTAATTCAATCCTTCCTAATTTCAAATTCCAAAACAAGTAACCCTTAGATCTTTCTCCACAATCCCATCCCTTCCTCTTGAGACCGCCGGCACCCTCTCTCCACCCGCCCCCTCTCTATCTTATTGCCTTAATTTGTTTCCAAAGGTGGACACCTACTTTGAGAAACTCTCAATCCTTATTTCCATCCCTCCAAAATTAATTTAGGGATTCAAAATTCGAATCCTTCTTCATTCATCCATCTCCAAAATCTGAACCCTAACTTCACCATCCATCCTAGTTTGGCCGACCCTCCTTTCCTTCCACTTCTCCTTGAAAATTGTTTGGGAATCTCCCTCTCTGCATGACGACTTATCAAGGGCAGCAAAGAATCATCTCCTACCATACCCAAAGCATCATTTACCTCATGCATAGCCAACCCTGAGGTCGACCACGGATTCGTTTACAACGCTCAAGAAGAAATCGACATCTTGTAATCTCCTTTCTTTGATCCAGACTGGGAATATGAGGATTCAATGGACAACTACGTCAATCGCATACTCTATCATCTCGTCGAGACGATTGACAAGCAACGACCAACGGAACATTGGCACATCATCGGCCGACCATCAGCTTCCCCTCCTCCGGCTGCTTCTCCGGCAAACAATACCTTACGCGTCACCTGCCTTATGGTGGCATCACTAGGGTTACTTCTACCTTTTCTCCGCTAAACCCCAATTTCAAGAGTTTGAGTGCGGGAACTCAAGGTGAATTCTCTAAGTATTAAACCGTGAATTTTGTTAAAGCACATTTAGTTTTATTTCTATATTTGTTACCGTTTTAAATTGTTTTGCCTCTAAAGCTTGTAACTTTTACCTAGCTATTTGATAACTAAGGGATTCATAAATCTACAAGTGTGAAATGTTAGACTTTACATTGGTTAACTTACGCAATTGTTTTATTACTTCCGAGCAATTCCTGTTTCCGTTCTACATCAGGGTGCCTCCCTCATTGCCTCTCACACAATTGAATGAGCTCAACGCTCATGTACATGACATGATAATATTCAATTTAAAGGCACTGATGATGAGTACGAATGAGATTTATACAATAGAGGGTGATGTATGGAATGCACCCTATTGGACTAAATAGTTTCATAATGGAAGTGAAATAAGAAGTGGGTTTTGATAGACGTTTGGTAACTTGATTATTTGTTTAAGTTTTTAATAGGCTGGAGTCAGAATGCTAGATTTGAGCCCAAATTTGGGTTGTAGTGTTTTACCCTCTTAACATCTCCAACTAAAAAGGGGAATCACTACTTGATGAAGGCAATTCCTAATGCTAAGTGATGTATTTTTTTCATCACAATCATTCTTATTTTGATCAACTAAATACAAGATAATTGTTTTATTCATTCAATCAGAAGTTTTTTTGGCTTATTTATTTTATGAGTAAATTATACACAAGTCCTTGAGGTGTGGAAAATTTTTACATTGTTCCATGTTCATAATTCTTTCACTTAGCCCTCCCACATATAAAATTCATCTTAAGATAGTCCTTCATTTATAGAATCGTTAGATGAAAATATAATGCCATAAATATCCTTTTTTCATCTCTCGTTTCTCATACCTCTACTCTCTCAAGCTATTCTTGGGAATTCATGAAAGACTCAGCGTAGTCATCGGCAAAGAGCACTAGAGGGCAAGCTAGTTTTTGCGAGCCAGCTAAAAAAATAAGGGGAGCACTAGTTGTGCAATTACTGATGTGCACCTCAATTTTGCTGCACTCGTAGCCATGTGTTTTCACTAAAACAACTACACTTGGAGGACCTTGTCTCGTTGATGGCAACATTCAATTTTGAAGACCTCTTCCTACTCTAATTTCAATCTCCTGCAACCCTTATCATCATCAATAAAATCTCAGCCCTTCTCATTATTTTTGTGGTTGGCTCCTCATTTATGTTGTTGGTGACAAGGATTGCCTTTTCTTGCTGGTGACAACGAGCAAGAAGTTAGAGAAGAGGTACTATCCAAAACACAGACTTATACCCTGATGGAAAAAAAGCCTTCTTTCCCAAGAAATTAAGGAGGCTACATTAGCTAAAATAACAAAAGGAATAGCTTTTTTTCGAAAGACCTACATGATATTGGAATCTCCATTTAGCGATCTATTTAAAATATTAAAAAGTGCTAGGAATCAAGTGGAGGGATCTTCAAAACGTGGACTAATATGAAGCGCATCCTCTCTATTAGCCGTCTATAGTTGATTCACCCATTCTCAAATCATATCATTTTGCATGATTTATAATTATTTTTGGTTACTCCAGCCCTTCTTGTTGTTTGTACACTGAGTCTACCTACCTTGCGGATGCTCCTTTGTTTCCACAGACACGCCAAACTTCCTAAATCTGTGTGCTACCACTCAACTTTTTTCCCCCGCTTTATTATGCATAATCTTTGTTGTCCAATACTTTCAGAATATAGCTTCGTTTGTGGCATCTTTTTTAATGCTTTCTAAAATAACTCTTTAGACAAAAATTTCTTATTCAAAAAATTTTGATACTAAAAAATCGTTTTAGGAAGCAGTATGAAGCTGTCCTAAATGAAAACCAAGTCTTCTTCCATTTTTGCTAAATCTTCCCTCTATTTTCACCAAATATCCTATCTTCATATTTCATTCCCAATTCTCTTTTTGTTAAATAATTAGCTTTACTCCTACTTACTATATCATATTTTTGGCTGCTTAATGATGGATCCGAGTTCGGGTATTTTTTTGATATTACTTCGCAATTAGATCCAAATAATTGGTTGGGCCTAATGATGATGGTGACGAGCCAAATAGTTTGGTTAAGGTTGCTAGTGATGAAGATGCGTTGATATTCTATCTTGATGATTTTTTTTAATGTTTCACTTTTGTTCTCTGTAAGCTACGCGTCTTTGTGCCTAATTTAGTGTGTTCATTTACAGGTCACACCTTTTGCTATGCTTTCAAGGGCTGCAGCTGGTATCAGAGGATCAACGCTGGTGAGAAAGCTGTTCATTCCTCTTGTGGCCCATTAGGTTGCTTGTAGATGGATAACTTACTGGGGGATTTACATGCAAACTAAATTTTTATCTATTTTCATATTTATTTGTATAATATCTTAATTTTAAAGTAGATAAAAATATCCTAAATATTAACTTATCTAAAATAAAATGTATATTTTTATGCATTTCTTTTGATGGCATTCATTGTCACATAAATCATCGGCTTTCCGATGACCCGATTAGGAAAGTAGATGTATTAGATTTGACTTATATTAAGAAAGGTAGAGGTAGACCTAAAAATACTTGGTTAGAAAATATTAGAAATGATATTTCTTTATTAGATTTAAACAATAATTTGACTTTTAACAGGACGCAATGGAGAAAAAAGATTCATGTAGCTGACCCCATGTAGTTGGATATAGGCTTGATATTATATTATTGTTATTGTTGTTGTTGTTTTGATGGCATTCAGACGCTACAATGTTATAGAAATAAATATAAAGTTTATTGGTTAGATATGTAAAATAATTTGAAGTTAGTGGTATTTATGTCAATCCTCCAAACTTATTTGAGAAAATGATTACATTATCATTGATTTTATTTTGAAAATGAAATCATTACATGTGATAGAGGGTTATGGAAAAGGCAATGTTGATTTCAAACTACACCTAACCAAATGCTGGATCAATCTGGCTTCTTCACTTTTTTCGTTTAAAAAAAGATTTCTCCTTAACAGAATTTTGAACTCCTGCTATATTTTTGTTTCTCCCACTCATTTTTCTCAATGATTTTGCATTAGATAATCAACATGCCAGGGAATCCAAATGCAGTGGCTGAGTGTATGGAGGCTTTGTTTCCAGCACTCAAACATGCATTAAGGCAGATAAAGGGCGACAAGAGAGAGAAGCATCCACGCCACATACCACATGCTCAGTCACAGCCTACTGATCAATGGGAGAAGAGCTTTAAGACAGCTACTTCAGGCTGTTAATTAATGGTTCGTTTGGGATGACTTTTTTACTGCTTTTTAAATCAACTTTTTAGTAAAAAACTAAAAATTTTGAACTATAAAGTTGTTTTACGAAGCAGGAAGAAAACCGTCCCAAACGGAACCTAATCCTCGCGGTGAACTGGCTTCACACTTCCAACTTAAACTACAACTCTTTCTGATGTGGAAACTTTCTGGATATGGCTGTGAACCTTGAAGATGAAAGGTAAAACAGTTCTTCCATTCTTCATTTCAGTATCTGTAATGTCATATTATGTTATTTAAATGTTATAATTGTTTAGATCATTAAAACTTTCTAAAAATATTTCAAAAATAAAAATTATCTGACATTTAGGTTTCATTTGGGATAGCTTTCTTAATGCTTTTTATAGTTTATAGTATAAAAATTTCTTGAAAGTAACAAAAAAGTGGCCAAAAGCTATCCCAAACGAAACCTTAATATCATTTTGAAGAATCTCGATAGTATTGAATATCTCAATAACATTGAACCTAACATTCCTTATATTTTTTTGATAGGTAATTAGCTCAGCATAATATATGCTTTAGCTTAGCTGGAGATGGGTGGATGCAGAATCTTTATAGGCTATGTTTGGAGACTGGAAATTGTGAGTCTAATGAATGGTTTCATCTCATTTACTTTCACTTTTCGCTGTACAATCAAATCCTTAATAAAGCAAACCTTGTAGGATTTGGTTTTAAATCTTAATTCAAATAAATCTGCTTTCTTTCATGAGATGTTTGGCAAAAATTTTGTACTAAAAAGTTGTTTTAAGAAACGGTAAGAGATTTGTCTCAAATAAAATCTTAAGTTTTGTTTGGGATGGCTTTTGGGCTTTTAAATTTTGTATTAAAAACTATAAAAAACCGGAATAAAGCCGTTTCAAATGAAGCCTTAGTTTAGTGCAGACATTGTCATATTGAAGCAAAAAGCCCCAAAAACTTTTAAATGTGTAAATTTTAAAAAGATTTTTTAAAGAGAATATATGTATATATATATATATAATATATTAATTTTGTATTCACTTCAAAAATGTATGTACACATTAAAAAGTATTTTTTTTTTATAAATTAAATATTAATAATATTTTTATGTGATTTGAATATTAGGGCCCTATATAAATTATTATAAAAATCAAATATGTAAATATGTAAATAGATAACAAATTTGAAGTATATTAATTGGCCCTTCTTTTTTCAATAATTACATTTTCTGACATGTATTTTATTTTATTTTTTGCATGAGCATGACAGTATCATATATATATATATATGATATATATGCCATCAAATAATTAATTTATCTTGATCGGGCATGAATCTCGAGGGAAAATCAAGTTGGAAACTTCCGAAGTTAAAATTGGGATCATCCGAACTCTAATTTCAACAAACTTATAGTCGAACTAAATGTCTGAAAAATACAAACCAAAAGAGTCCAAATCAAAGACCCATAGCATTGTTGGAAGTTTCAAACCACAATTTGAATTATCAAATGGTTTTCAAACATGACATGCTTATAGTTGAATCATGTGGCTCGATGAAACGAATCCAACGAGCCCAAGATCAATGAATGCTAATATTACTAATGCATTCAAATGTGCAGTGGACGATTCAACGATCAAGGGAATCAACATCAGTCATCCATTCAAATCACTCTCAATTTACTCTTGCTCTTTTTTTTATTTGCTGGTTATTTACTATCAAAAATCTATAAATAGACCTCTTACTTCTCATGGAAGAGAACTCAAAGCAAGGAAGAAAAAAGAGAGATTGGAGATCGCTCTTTCCACCTAGCTCCTCCTCGACCATCGTCTGGACTTCTGCCGAACCTCCAAGTGACGCCTGGACTTCCGTCGGACCACCGTCTTACGCAGGATTTTTGTCGGACCACTAACTGACGCCCGAACTTTCACTGGATCACCGTCTGAAGTCGGACTTCCGCAGGACCACCAATTGACACACGAACTTCCACTAGATCACCAACTAACTCCCGGACTTCCGTCGAACAACCGCAAGATGTTAGACTTCTGCTGGACCACTAACTTATGCCCAAACTTCTGCATGACCATCGCTTGATGTCGGACTTTCGCTGAACCACAAACTGATGTATGGACTTCCACCGGACCACCGCCTGACACGCCGGACTTCCGTCAGACCACAAACTAACGCCAAACTTTCAACTGACCAAACGTCGCCGGACTTACGTCTGACCTCCGTTTATCACTAAATTTCAACCAAACGATTGATTGTTGTAATCTGATCGTCCTCAAGGATAATTCAATAAACTATAATCTACACAAACACTAGTGGAATCATTTCAACATGGTGTGGCCGTTTAGTTTTTTTCCTTTTCATGGTTTTCTATCTAAAAAAACTTTTGTTTTGTTTGTATAATGTATATTCGTACAACGCTGAGATGTAATCTTCTGACAC